CCGGTGAGCTTAACACTTTGATGGCAAACACTGATGGTTTATTTGGAGTTACGGCCGGAGAACTGACAAGACAGGTTGTGTGTCACGAGTTGACACAGCGGTTGCCAAACCAATTCTGAAGAACTCTTTCTGTAGCTCGAGGTTTTAACTAGTTCGGAGTGTAATAATCAACATTCTTTATCAGCAAGACTAAAATATGGACCCTGAATCTAACTAGAGCTCTCTTCCATAGAAAATAATGTGCGTCAGGGAACCTACGTCCCTGAACAGTAAACTACCTCATGGCGGCTTGTGCTCTGTCATAGACTGGCAACAACAATGCGCCCAAGCTGCCCCTCCTTAAGAGAGATAGCAGCAATACCCAAGGCCATAGACCTATGCCATGGGAAAAGAGACAGAAAAGAGAGAAAACTATGAACTGGGTTGAAGGTTGAATACCTAAGCAAATTATTCCCTAACATTACTGACATATAATTCCTCAGATATGCTGATCTGCGTGGATTGTGAAACAGGCGATTTGGTTGAAACCAAACTCATAAGCATAAACATTCCTAAGCTAAATGAATTATAATTTAGAGTTGCTGATAAAGTTGAATCTAGAAGCTGTGCTCTGTTACAGCCAGGTCTGTTTTCCTCTGTCAAATCTGAAGGAATACAGACACAAGTTTGAAAGATACTTCAAGTTGAATTCTGAACCATCAAAGAGAGCAGTATTTGTTATCATCCCTCTTGAAAGACTTTGCCTGGGGTCCTGGGAAAGTTTGAATGGATCCTCAAGGGGTCTTCATTACATGAAATATGTATTTATCGTTGATAAGTACCAATACTTGCCCAGTCAAATAAAAGTCTTGCAATACCCCAGCTGCCCACAAATTGAGTTTGTCTTTGAAGTGATGGCATGGTATTTAAAAGATGCTTCACGTTACATATTGTAGTGGAAAGTTTCTGTATAATATTACAAATGTGGAATAAGACTTTATAATTCTGTCAGATGTCTAAATGTCAGTGCCCAGAACCGCTGGCACACACTGTTAAAAAGGATATTTCCATATGGAACCAGAGTCAATGGATCATAATCACACAGTTGCTGTTTACATCCCGAGCCTCAGTCGGCACAGACAAAGCCAAGAGCTTTTGGCTGGATTTCTCCAAACCTGGCATCAAAATGTTTTCCACCAGTCCATAAGGACACTTAAAACTGCAGATCAGATGACTGGAGAGATGAACGTTCTCTGTTGCCCTTAGCTGCCACATCCTCCATCCTCCTCCTCTCGCCTCCTTTTTAAACACCTCTCTTTTCTTTGTCTTTTGACATCACATAGTCGGTCTCGTGTGTTCAACCTATTTGTATTTTTACAAACTCCTAACTAACAGTAATACGTTTTCATAAAACAAAAACCAACATCATGAAATTAGAGGAAGGTAACCAAAAACAGTAGATTCAAAGTTATGGGTAGCAGATAGCAACTAATAGCTGACAGGAAAGCAGTTCAGAAAGGACTCAGCATCACTCATGTTTCTTTATCTGATTCATAGTGTAAATAGTCAGCTTTAAGAATGTTTTTATATGTCATTATTATAAACGGTTGGTCGCTGCAAAAACCTTATTGTAATTAATCATATCCCAAAAATAGCGAGGACAAAAATTGTAAAGAAAACAACGAATTACTTCAACTCTCATTTTATTTTTGTATCTACTGTTGTTTTATCAAAATATAACATAAATAAGAAAAATGACCGTCCAGCTTACTTTTGATGGAAGTCTGTGATATTGGTTGTTATTCTGAAACTTGCCCTCTCCTTGAGCAGAACCTGATTTTTATATATATTTTTTTCTTTATATCATCACCAACACCAAGTTTATTTTCCCATTGCAGCACACACTTCTTTCTTTAGAACAAATGTATGTTGCTTTGAGCAAATACAAGTACTAAACCAATCGATGTAGTGTACATGTTGTACCAAAGCCGCTGTGTCTGTGGCTTCAGATCAGTCTGCGGGCCTCCACAGCTCTGCTCTGCTTTTATAGTGCGTATTTTTAACCAGAAGTGCTGCTTACACTTTCTTCATTGCTCGAGTGGTTTCATTCTGACGCTACAAACACCAGTGACACATTGTCAGGAGGCAAGGTAAACCCACATACATAATAGTGGTTGAAACATATTATGCGCCTTCAATCCGTCATGGTGTCAAAAGACTTCCAGGTGACAGATTGTGCAATGCACGAAGAACAGCGCGGTAGTGAAAGCGTTGGTGCACTACACGTGTGATAAAGATGGCCTATTATTTGAGTTTCCTGTGAAGAGGAGATGGACGTGATCACAAGACTTACCCGACACTGGTTTGTATTTATGGTGCTCGGCAACAAGCAACAGCATCTCTACAGAAAGATTCATCTGGCTGTGTTTTAATGTCAACAACCGCTACTAGATGCTACTGACAACAGGGCTGTTATTATGTGTTTTCCCAAACTACAGCCACCCTATTATTAAATCTGTTAAACAAATATGATCATATCAAATGGCTTCAAGAGGATCAAAATGAATTTACAAAATACATCAAACTTAGAAAAACATCTGTGTTTCATTGTGCGCTGTCGGCTGAAGTCCATCTGTGGTGCATGCTGGGAAAGAGGAAGTGTTGGTCCCCTTCTCGTGAATACGATGTCTCAGGAAAGTACTTAAATATGGCACAAATCTCTAAGACTCAAGGGTGAACAGATTTAGACTTTGGTGGTCAGAGGTCAAGGTCACAGATATGTCTAATAGGATTAAATGATGATTAACATTTCAGGGGAGATCGATATGAACTTCAACTGCCCGGTTGGCACAAGCATACAACCTCAAGCTGTCATTTTGGTTTGAAGCCAGCAGAGATGGGGTCGTTACTAAAAAAAAGTAATATATTACATATTACATATTACTTTAAAAAAAAGTAATATATTACACTACTTCGTTACTCTCTACATAAAGTAACTCGTTACTTTACTCGTTACTTTACTCGTTACTTTACTCGCAGGGCCGGCCCGCCCCTCCCTACAGGCAGATCACGCAGACTGCTAAAGTTTCAAATGTTCTCTTTAGTTCAGTTTCCATTGTCGCATAAGACTGATCCAGATAGCTCTGACCATGGCTGTCCTCTGTCTCCTGCTATCTGTATTTTGCGCAGTATATCTCTGAACGATGCGATGGTGATTCCACTGTGCAAATGGGCAACATTACCTCTACTATGAAGGATGCTACAAGCCTGTCCATCTCTGCTTTGGTTACCGGTCCTCCAAATTCTAATTTGTGCTGCTTCAGAGTCGGTGGCGGCGCACTCACAACATCCTCACTCTGGGTTCGGGGGTCCTTAGCTATTAGCTTCACCTTAGCATGTGTTCTTTGCAGGTGTTTGTTGAGGTTTGACGTGGTGTTTGCAGCAGTGGATAACAGCTTCTGGCCTGGACACAGTTTGCACCTCACCGTCACATTCCTGTCTATTCTTCGGACAAACTCAAAATAATGGGCATACCTCCACCCCTCGAAAGTTATCGCTGACTCAGCCATGTTTATGCAGCACTGCACGTGGAGATGTGGACGCGCAAGTCGCGCAGATTACGTACATATAAACCTGCGGCGGAAACCCCTCTTGTCTGTCAGTGTGATTATGACTGATTTGATAAAAGTAACGAAGTAACGCGTGTCGGGGCAATGTTAGTAACTGTAGTGTGATTACTGAATTATAAAAGTAACGCGTTACACTACTCCGTTACCGACAAAAGTAATATTATTACCCAACTCTGGAAGCAAGTAGTGACCATTGGACGAGATTATGAAGTGACCAGGGAAGAGCAAGGCCAGTAGGGTCAGATACCTTTAGCAAAGAAAGTTATAAATTATAAGCTAACGCTAGCTAGCTTGTGTCATGGCACAGAAATGAATCGAATGATCGAATAAAATGTGACAGTTGACTCGGGCGGCTGTGGCTCAGTGGATAGAGTGCTGGACTTCGAATCAGGGGGGTAGCAAGTTCGAGTCCCACTGCAGTCAGCATGTCGTTGTGTCCCTGGGCAAGACACTTCACCCCAAATTACTCCTGTGGCGATTGTCCACAGTATTGATTGTATGTAAGTCGCTTTGGATAAAAGCATCTAACAAATGACATGTAATGTAATAATTCAAATGACAGATCAGTGGCGTTGTTCTTAACTGACTTCATTTTAAACATTTTTTCTCCTCGTCTATTAAAATGAAGAGCCCTTAGTAAGTAAAATGTGTCTGTTGAATATTATCACAAAGCTACCGCAGATGAATAACATTGATAAATACATCGTTATTTGTATGTTGCGTTCTGCGCTGAAAGCCACAGAGAAAAAGGAAACACTTGATGTAGAAATAAGCTGTTGGTGTTAAAAGATAACACTGCGCATACTAGGATTCTCGGAAGTTGTTCAGTTTCTTATCAACCCTTACTTTGTTCTTGTAAAAGTAAGAGTGCAACATCCTATTTTAAAAGGTTCGACATCTTACAGTATCAAGAAACACTGAACAACACACACACACTCTAGTTACAGGCATTTCTGAGGCAAGTTATTAAACTGTATGCCATCTACATCGAATAAATTACAAACAAGAACAATTCCCCAATTTTACTGCACATAAGAGTAAGCAGCACTACAGTACACAACTGACACTTTCATTTCACTGTTAGGCTGTTTCACCATGATGCAACATGGGTAATACCTCACAGCCAATTTTGTCGGACTGACCATGCATCATCTGAGAAAAAAGCAGAAGAGCTTACAAGGAAACTAATATGTGGTTGCTTCAGACTGCCGTGACATTTCTCTGCAAACTTATCTCATTACAAGCGAGCCAAAGGAAGATAACACCGTCACATTTAGAGATAGCTCCCCCAACGCACCTAACCTACACTACCAACACAAGCATGCTCAGCTTTTCTATGAAACAGTTACTACATATACCTGGCAAGGTTTCAAAAATGAACACACAGCTCGATAAGATGTAATGTAATTATTTATTGATGACAAATGTTCTTTCTTCCTTCGAGAAAGACAGTTTTTCAGCAAAAATGAGCAGTCATTGCCATCATTTGTGCAAATGAGGAAGTGGTTATTCAGAGCAGTGTGCTTTTCTGCCACTTATTGCAGGGTTAACTAAGTGCATTGTAAAGGCAAAATTATATTAGCATTATTTTAAATTTACAGTGGCTCAACAATGTATTAAAAAAGTGAACATCCTCATGAATTAGAAACAAGCATAAACATAACGCAAAGATGATTGTAATGTTATCTAAAACAACAATTAAAATGCTTTTGAAATCAAACAAGGAATTTTAAATAAACCACAAAAGCATAACAATAATAATAATATCTATGAATGAAAATAAAAATTGTATTTACATTAAAAGAACCCGCATCCTATTAATGTATTTCAACTTTAAACAGGCTTCTGGCGGAGGTCCCTACTAGACTGTACAAGAGAAACACATCACAGCAAAATGTTGACCTGTATCTTGTCCTCATTAGGTGTATAATTTATTTATTCTGAAGAAATAAAGGAATATCATTATTAATATTAAAAGTATTATTATTGCAGGATCTTTATTTTAATACAATAGAAACAGAAATCAATGATATGAAGCGATAGGGAGCAAATAGATTTACAGAGTCAAAGTGCATTAAAAAGTGTAACTGTGCTCTGCTGTGACCCTGTTGCCGTTCTGATGACAGGACGAGGAGGATCTGGACAAAGAGACCCTTCACCTGCCTTTAACGGTGCAGTCTTTGTCAAATGACTGAACTCTGGGAATCACCTGCCTCTTCGCACCTTGGCGTACACACATTCCTCTCCTGCGGGATCAGCAGTCGGCCGAGGTCGCTCTGAGAACTTGACCTGGCCGTACTCCACCTCCGGCTCGGCCCTCTGCTGGACCTGCCGCCCCGACCGCTGCTTGATCTTGACAACAGCATAGGTCAACTCCTGTTCATCTTCATCTGCAGAGTGAATACATAAACAACACAATGATGTTAAAGGTCACCTATTATGCAAAATCCACTTTTTCATGTCTTTTATACATAAACGTGTGTCCCCTCTGTGTAAAGAGACTCTGAAAGCTTCAGGAAAAAAGATTCTCTCTCTTTTTATATAAAAACCTGTCTGATCAGATGTTTGCCACTTTATCATGTCATAACAATGTTTTGGCTTGTGTAACCATTAGCCAATAACCAACCAAGGTAACACCCGCCCACCTTATCACCTGGGCGTGGGGAGTGGCTCCTTATTTTCATCTAAAGTAACAGACAGAGAATCAGCACTTTTGAAACAGGGCTGAAACAGAGGGGTTTATGGGATGCTACAATGATCAGTTTGGTATTTGGAGCCAAACACTTATAATATATTGATGAAAAACAGTATAATAGGGGACCTTTAAACTAAGTGTTGCAATGGTGGAAAGTAGTTTACCTAAGTATCAATTTGAGGTTTTTTTTCTCCATATCACTTTCTGCTTATACCTCACTACAATAGCAATATTCCCCATGGCTAACAACAGTAAGTTCCTGCTGTGAAACAAATGCATGAGTAATGTTACGACCCCTCCCTCTCTGCTCAGTGTGTCTGCTGCTCTCTGGTCGTTAATCAACAGTGGGGACACCTGTCTATAAAGTCAGTAGGGGCTCGGACTGGGAGCCGTAGGGTCGCTGGTTCAGGTCCCCGAACAGACTTCAAATATGGAGTGTGGACTGGTACTTGGAGGGGTCCCAGTCCACCTCCTGGGCTCTGCCGCGGTGCCCTTGAGCAAGGCACCGGACCCCCCACTCCCCATTGCTCCCCGGGCGCTGTACAATAGCTGCCCACTGCTCCTACTACTAGGATGGGTAAAAAAGACCACATTTCACTGTGTGTGCTGTGTAGCTACATGTATGTGTGACCAATAAAGAGGGTTTCATCCTCCAATTCTATGTATCTATTCTATCTATTGTCTCTCTGTTCCATGAGCCATCCAGGCCAAGTTTGGTTTTTACCTCGCCCGCTACACACACTTTACACTCACCCTTACATGTTGTCACTTTAAAGGGGACCTATCATGTAAAATGCACTTTTGTACGTCTTTTATACATGAATATGTGTCCCCGGTGTTCCAGGGAACTCACCAAGTGTCAGAAAACACAACCCTCTCTATTTTCCTCCATACCCAAATCTCTAAAAAAGGGGCTGCAACGGATCTGATACAGACTGATCCAGATTTGAACACTTCTATGACGTCACAGAAGTGGCGCTACGGCTATTGGGCCAACTCTCCACCTATCAGGGGAATGTGGGGTTGGGCCACGGCCGGCCATTGCTGCTCGAAAGCGCTGGAGACGCTGTAGTACATATGCCATGCCTGTAAGTGGCGCTGTAGTCTGCCACAAAAGCAGCTTGGCTTTTTTTCTCCCTCCCCGAGGCAAGCGTTTGCTCCCGCTGCTTTAATTCAATGCAATCCCTCCCCGTCGAGGCAAGCACTGTAATTCTCTCCGGTTAGTCCACCAGCAGATAACAAACACCCACCTCTCCGCCTCTTCCAAGGAACGAGGGGACCGTGCGGCAGAGTTTCAGTTTCAGTTTCTTTCGCCGGTCAAGATGTCCGTTAAAGTTTAAATCTTCCGGACAAAATTTGAAAAGTGCCGGTCAAAGGTCTTCTTTGTTATTTATTGAGCTTTAAAACAAATGAATAACGACTCTATAGGCCTATAATAATATAATAAAACCATAGACTGTATATATAAATAAAACACGGAGGACGGAAATATTTTTTTCTCCCCCTCTTGACTTGATCAGAGCACGTCTCCCCTCTCCTGCAGGGGGGCGTGGTCTCACAGAATCAGCCCCGTAGACAGCAAACAGCACATAGAGCGAAATGAGGCATGGCTAAAATGCATGATCTGTTTGGTATTTTGAAAACAGAAACGTAGAAATATACCTTATATAGGTATGGCCCTACAATATATAATTTAAATATAGCATGATAGGTCCACTTTAATAAATGCAGGGCTAACCACTTGTGTCCCCTCTTGTTGCACTCCTTGAGCCGGTTTGTGACAGTAATATTGATGTTATGGTATAATAGTATGTCAGTCACAGGGGACATGTTTCTGCATTGAGTACTTTTACCTTTTAATACTTTAAGTAAACTTTCCTGATTATACTTACGTCGGTTCACTAAAGTAAAGGATGTAATACTTCCAACACTACAGGGTGTTTGTACAGTTGGTTGTTAAAAAGATTGTTTATTTTTTGTTATTTACCTACCAATATGTGTATGTTTTTCTCGTCAAGTTTCCAAAGTGGTCTCAATCTTATTATCTTGTTCTCGGGCAAGAAACAAATAACTTGTATTGCCAAAAATGTCAAACTGTTTGTTGCATCTGTAAATACAGAAATAAACTGTGAATGCAGCGATGTGTAAGAAAAAAGGAAGTTGTGTTCTGTACCTGTAGGCTGGTTGCTTGGTTTTTTTCTCTGAGCACAGACGACAGCCACCCCGACCACCAACAGAAGAACCAGTGCAGAGAGAACACCGCCCATTATTTGCCAGTTTCTTGTTTCTACAACGAGACACAAGATATTTAAATATCAGGCAATCACTACAGGTGTTTTATGGAGACACACAAACAAAAAACGGGGGAATTACTTTAATAATCCATTGTCGCAGTGTTAGTTGTCACTTACTAATGTACCATGGCTCATCTCCAGAGAGGGAGGTCACAGTTTGATTCCAGGATGTGATGTTAGTGCGGGGGTTAATTGACACTGTACTCTCCTTACCCACAGTGGAGGATGCTGGGATGGTGGTGGTAGGAGGTGTTGTTGTTGGTTCAATGCACAGCGTATTGTTGGCTGCAAACACCCACTGTGATATCTGTGTCCCATTTGAGGAGCAGTTAATGAATACTGTGGGAAAGAATCAGATACATGACTGATATGCAGTTAATCATCCATGTCTTATTCATCAAACTGTTTTCCACTCATCTTCTCACCACAGTTAGAGATCTCCTCTTTATCGTTGCTACTGACGTTATTCTTGACTGAGCAGGCCACTGCTCCTGAGACGTGTTGTCTCAGAGTGATGCTGTTAGTCTCAGTATTTACAGAGAGGAGCTCAGTGTCTGTCAGTGAGCGTCCATCCAGAGTCCAGCTGTACTGAGGACTGTCCCCTCCCCCAGAGGAGCAGGAGACCCTCTTCTCTCCCTGGGACAGACACTCAGAGGCCAGCCGGACAGAGGACACAGGAGCTGAAGGAAACACACTCTGGTGACTTTTCATATTCACACAATCTTAGTCATTTTATGCAGTTTTTAGTACAGAACAGACAGATATATGTAGAGTTTAGATATACAAACTTTTTATGTGTGTCTATCCATTTGACTTCCCAGTAGATACAACAATATATTTACCTTGAATGGTCAGTCGTAGAGCGCGATTCTCTATGATATTTATGCCGTCACTGATTTCAAAATTATATTCATCACTGTCATTCCTGCTGAGGTTGTTCACCCTAAATGTTCCATCACTGAGATTAAATAAGGATCTGCTTTTTATGGCATTATTAAAAAAAATAGATAAAAAGATAAATCTTATTGTTTATCACATTAAGTATTAGTGTTGTTATATCTCTCACAGGCTCCGCCCTCTACTGGACTCTATGGGTACTACCTTATCATGCAAGCATTCACCTACTGAGATTTCTATAGACGTAGCTGGCCCCGGGGCGGGCCTACCTGAATGTGTGCGCATCTCACTTCCGTATAAAAGGAGGCCTCGCCTCCTGACCACCATCCTTTACTCTTCAGCGAGCGGAGGTGATAGCCTAGCACTGAGTCCGAGACGTACAATTGGGAGAAAGGAAGTAGAAAGAGAGTATTTTTGTGAAAACAGCAAAAAGAAAGGGGTTTTTATTCCATGTTCTTCCTGGTTTCCAAGAAGACAGGGGAATTCAGACCTATTCTAGATTTGCGCAGCCTGAATCTTCACATTTGCCGCAGGAAATTTCGCATGTTAACTATCAAACAGTTAATGGGGCTAGTGCAGCCGGGCGATTGGTTCACCACCATCGACCTGAAAGACGCATACTTTCATGTGGAGATTGTGCCAGAGCACAGGAAGTATCTGCGTTTTGCCTTTCAAGGGATAGCCTACGAGTACAACAGACTCCCGTTCGGCTACTCCCTATCCCCACGCACATTCAGCAAATGTGTGGCCACAGCGCTTCAACCGCTGCGCGCCCAGGGCATGAGAGTTTTCTTTTACATAGACGACCTCATAGTCATGGCTGGGTCCCGGGAACAGGCAATGTTTTGCACAGCACAATTGATCACACACCTAACCAAATTAGGCTTTGCAACAATTGGGAAAAGAGCACCCCCATACCTCACCAACAGGCGTTGTATTTGGGAGTGGTGCTCAATGCAGACGCGCTGCGTGCCACCCTGTCAGAGAGCAGGCGTGCGTCCCTTCTCAGGGCGGTGCACAGGCTGCGACAGGGGGCAACAGTGACAGGTTTAACTGTCATGCAGACTCTGGGTCTCATGGCGGCTGCTCACGTTGTGGTCCCGTTGGGGTTACTGCATATGCGCCGCCTGCAGAGGTGGTTTTCCAGTCTGCGTTTGGATCCCAAGAGGCACAAACGGCGGCTGGTGACCATCCCCCCCTCAGTGGAGGGCAACCTCCGGTTCTGGGGGTCTCCCGGGCGCCTCCGGAGGGGGTCTCCACTGGGGCGGGTAACCTCCTACATCACAGTGTTCACGGACGCATCCAGAACAGGATGGGGAGGGACCTGCCTGAAGAGGGCTATAGGTGGGCGCTGGTCTCTAACAGAAACACGGCACAGCAACCTCCTAGAGCTACGGGCGGTAGTGTTAGTCCTCCGACATTTCATGCCCCTAATTCAAGGGAGACATGTATTGGTCAGGAGCGACAACAGCACCACAGTGGCTTATATCAACAGGCAGGGCGGAGTCCGCTCCGCCGCCTTGTTGGCCACAGCGGAGAGGCTGTGGTTATGGGCATCAGAGATGGTATTATCTCTGAGAGCCCTCCTCATGTCGAGGGGCGGCCCCCTGCCAGGCGAATGGACGCTTCACCCAGAGGTGGTGAAGCAGATCTGGGCCCAGTTCGGGAGAGCGGAAGTGGATCTGTTCGCCAGCCGGCGCAACAGCCACTGTGCCCTGTGGTTTTCCATGGCCCTGAGCGACGACCCGCCTTTGGGGGTGGACGCGTTTGCACACGAGCCATGGCCAAGGAAGCTGCTATACGCCTTTCCACCGCTGCGTCTCATTCTCCCTCTCCTGGGGAGAGTGAGGCGAGAACGTCTGGCAGTCATTCTGGTGGCACCGGATCGCGTCGGGGCTCCGTGGTACTCAGAAATGACACAGATGTTTTATTTCTAGAGAAACTATGGAGCAGAGAGTTCTCTTCCAGCCAGAGGTGATTTGTTGTACAGAGTTATTGCAGTGGGCAGGAATGTTTTCCAGTATCTGTCCTTGTGACAGGGGAGCTGCAGCAGTCTGTTGGAGAAGGAGCTCCGTTGACTGTCCAGCTGCAGGTGAAGAGGATGGGTGGGGTTATCCATGATGGACAACAGCCTGTTCAGTGTCCTCCTCTCCACCACAGCTTCAAAGGGTTCCAGCTTGATGCCGATGACTGACCCAGCTTTCCTGATCAGTTTATTGATCCTGCAGGTGTCACCGGCTCTGATGCTGCCCCCCCAGCAGACCGCAGCAAAGAAGAGTGCACTAGCCACAACAGACTGATAGAAGATCTCCAGCATCTTACTGCATACGTTGAAGGATCTCAGCTTCCTCAGAAAATAGAGTCTGCTCATCCCCTTCTTGTACACAGCGTCAGTGTTGATCCTCCAGTTCAGCCCATTGTCTAAGTGCACTCCCAGGTACTTGTAGACCTCCACAACTGCCACATCCTCTCCCAGAATGCACAGGGTGGGCCAGCCCTGGGCGATCCCCCAGTTCTGGGGGGCGATGTCTCGAGAGGCAGGTGCAATCGGGGCGTTACCCACTCTGGGCCGTCCTCTTCAGGCTTGGCTCCTGAGAGGGACAGGCTGAGACAGGGTGGATTGTCTGACAGCGTTATTCAGTCTATCCAGGCAGCTAGAGCAGAATCCACCACAGCCTGTTACAGGCCAAAGTGGCTGAGATTCCAGCATTGGTGTGAGTAGCGGGGAATAGAGCCCCTATCTTGTGAGTTGGGCTCTATTTTATCCTTCTTACAGTTACTGGTGGACAGAGGGCTTGCTCATTCCACAGTGAAGGTGTATGCAGCAGCCATCACGTCCTGTCATGAGGGATTCAACGGCAGGTCAGCCTTCTCTCATCCACTGATGTTGCGGTTTTTACAGGGGGTCAGGAGGCTGCGCCCGGTGGTGCACGCCTCCGCCCCACAGTGGGACCTGCCGCTGGTGCTCGAGGCTTTGGTCACGGAGCCTTTTGAGCCTCTTGAGCTCTCCTCCCTGAAAGCACTGTCGTGGAAGACAGCGTTGCTACTTGCCTTAACGTCAGCCAAAAGAGTGTCCGAGTTAACCGCTCTGTCGGTGCACCCGAGCTGTTTACTGATTCGGGGTGACCAGAGTGGGGCGACACTCAGATCGAACCCCTCCTTTGTGCCCAAGAGCCTAAGGAGTGAGTTCAGGTCGAGGTCTTTCAGTTGGGGGGTTTTAGTCTTCCACCCCATGGTGGGGCTAGGGAAGCTAAATTACACCTCCTCTGCCCGGTGCGCGCATTAGCATATTATGTAGAGCGCACAGCTACCCTGAGACGCACTGAACAGCTGTTTGTGTGCTTCGGGGGCGGGGTGACTGGAAAAGCTCTGTCCAAGAAACGCCTGGCAGGCTGGCTTTGCGAAGCCATTGCACACGCCTACAAGCAGGCAGGGAGAGCCTGTCCCATGGGGATCCGTGCGCACTCCACACGAGCTGTGGCTGCATCAACAGCCTTATTCAGCGGTGTGAGTGTGGAGGATATATGCACGGTGGCATCTTGGTCAACGCCAGGCCCCTTCATAAAGTTGTATCTCTTGGATATGTCTGGCTCTTTCTCAACGTCTGTGCTTGCTGGGGCAACACAGGACTGGTGAGGAGGGGGGGGGCTGTGGGTCAGTGGGCATCTGACCCCCTCCCCGGGCGTAAATGCGCTTACATTTCTCCGGACCCCTGGAGGGTCGCGGGGTGATGTAATGCGCTCCGGGCCCTTACAGGGCTGAAGGGCTCCCCTCGCCTGCCTGGGGGGCAGGAGGGGGAGAGCCCTCCATACTATAGTCCCTACACACTCTGCACAGGGTCAGTGGCGGAGTGGGGGGACATAGGGGGCACTTGCGTTCTCCCCGGGCTCTTTAGGGACTCAGGAGGGAGAGTGCATAGTGAACCCATACAGGGCTGCGGACTTTCCCTGTCCGCCCTACTTCTCAGACCCCTGGCTGAACAGAACAATACTTTGCCATCAAACTAGAATTTCAGTATCACAACCGTTCAACATAGGCTCTTTATTTGTACTTAGTTTTTATAGAAACTAGTTTAATTGTGGTTAGCCTAATAATGGTCTTCACAGCTTCCTGCTGAATATGAAAACAAGTCATTTTGGTCAAATGTAAAGCTCAAAACAGTTCTGATATATTGGTTGATGCAAGTGTTAGTTAGGGTGGTGGCTGTTGTGTAATTCATTACATGGAAAAGGGAAGTAGATGATTCAACTTTCAGTTATTTCACTTCTCTCTCTCTTTAGACTCTGTCGCCCTCTATTGATAAAAGAAACATGCCCTAAACTATTTATACATATGACATTGCTCTTGTAGTAATACACATATATGTTTATATTTGAACCTCATAATGCAGACTGGTAGTAGTAGCCTATTAAGGCAGTAACACCATATGGTTATTTGTTATTGATCATCATTTCTACCTGAAATGTTAACATGTTGGGAACAGAGATTTTACAGAATAATCCATGCACAGCAGTAACGCCTCTGATCGTCAGTAGGGGGAAACCTCACACCGACTGATACTGATAATGAGTCTGGAGGTTTTTTCAATGAATAATTAAAGGTAGAGTCTGTGATGAAAATGAAAACAACAAAATGGAAGTTTACCTTATTTGAATAATGTTTACATCTAGATTACCTTTAGTAAGAATACATAATGTTTGTTGAATTAGAGAACACACAGTGATGCAAATAAGCACAAAACATGTACAGACCTTTATTAACCTTACTTACTTTTATTATCATGAAAGCAATATTTAACTTCATAAAGTACCACAACTGGATTGGATATATAACAACACTAAAAAGACTTTCCATAAGAACGTATTGCCAAGCAAACAAGGAAAATAAAAAACGATATATGACATTTTAATCACATGAGAAAAACAACAAACTATCATGCACATGATTCAATCTGAGTTCAATACTAAAATGATATAAATGATCATGATTGTAATTTACAAAGAGTGAAAATATTCAGGCACCTCAACTTGTACTTGAACTGTGATACAAATGCAAAACAACACTAACAGACCTCAAATAATAACAACTCATACTGAGCTGCTGAACTGTGAACACATTTGCCAGAAGTAATTTTAGAATAAAAACAGCAAATTACTTCCACTCCCTAGTATCTTCACATGCTTAAAGATGATGAGAGACGACCTGAGTTGAACTTCAGATGCCTTACATCTCAACCATCACAACAGACTCATCTTGATGTTCCCTCTCTGGACGGTAAGCAGAACCTTCAGCCTTCTTGTAGTCCTTGTTCTTCCAAGCAAAATAGAAGGCAATCCCGATTAATGCAAAAACCACCACAGCTGCCCGCACACCACATACGAGCAGGGAGTGATCAGCTGGGATAAAGAGACACAAAAACAACATGTCAAGTTAGTTCTGTGACAGGAGAGTTCATGTTTACTATTTAAGAACCGTCTCTGCTGGAGGAAGAAACTGTTTATTGGAGGGTTTTATGGACACATTTATAACACTCTCCTACCCACAGTGGAAGCCTTAGCATGTGTTTGTGGTAGGAGCTGTAATAAGACTCATTGTTACTTATGGAGACACACTTTATGGAGACACACAAACAAAAAAGGGGGGAATTACTTTATTAATTCATTGCTGCAGTGTTAGTTGTCACTTACTAATGTACCATGGGTCATCTTCAGAGAGGGGGGTCACAGTTTGATTCCAGGATGTGATGTTAGTGCGGGGGTTAATTGACACTGTACTCTCCTTACCCACAGTGGAGGAATCTGAGATGGTGGTAGGAGGTGCTGTTGGTTCAACACACAGCATATTATTGGCTGCAAACACCCACTGTGATATCTGTGTCTCATTTGAGGTGCACTTGATGAATGTGAAGCCTGTGGGAAATAATCAAATGAACGACTTATGAACTGTTAATAATCTGTGTCATAATAAATAAACAGTTGTTCACTCATCTTCTCACCACAGAAGCGGCTGACGTTATTCCTGACGGAGCAGGCCACTGCTCCTGAGACGTGTTGTTTCAGAGTGATGCTGTTAGTCTCAGTATTTACAGAGAGGAGCTCAGTGTCTGTCAGTGAGCGTCCATCCAGAGTCCAGCTGTACTGAGGACTGTCCCCTCCCCCAGAGGAGCAGGAGACCCTCTTCTCTCCCTGGGACAGACACTCAGAGGCCAGCCGGACAGAGGACACAGGAGCTGAAGGAAACACACTCTGGTGACTTTTCATATTCACACCATCTAAGTCTTTTTTTGCAGCTTTTAGTACAGAACAGACAGATATATGTAGAGTTTAGAAATACAAACTTTGTATGTGTGTCTATCCATTTGACTTCCCAGTAGATACAACAATATATTTACCTTGAATGGTCAGTCGTAGAGCGCGATTCTCTTTGATACCTTTGTTGTCACGGATTTCAAAAGGATATTCATCACTGTCAGTCCTGCTGAGGTTGTTCACCCTAAATGTTCCATCACTGAGATTAAATAAGGATCTGCTTTTTATGGCATTATTAAAAATCTTATTGTTTATCACAGTCAGTATTAGTGTTGTTTTGTCTGACGATTTGTACAATTTGTATCTTTCTCTTTCTGAGGCCCTGTCCATCAGCTGGAGGACCACAGTTCCTCCCAAAGGACCGAAACACTGAGCTCCATCCTGTCTGCCGTCACAGTAGGTTTCCAGACCTGGAAATACAAAATAGAAACATTTAAAAAAAAAAAGGTTTAAAATCAAAAACATAAAAAATGTAAGTTTTGCATTTCTACAAAAATATTGAGTTTTGTAATTCTTTAAGCAAATACTGATCTGCAGCAAAAGAATAAGTATTTCACTGGTTTCCAGACAAAGGTTTGTGAAATACTGTATAAAACTGAACTGTTACAGTACAAATGCTTCTGTACAATATTTGTGCTTAGGTCAAGTTAACTTCACCCAAACAGGAACTTCCGTTTTAAATTATTAGGAAGTTACCAAAGCCTTCAAAATCAACTCATTATTTTTCACTGTGTTTTTGGCAATGTGTTTGAACTAATGGAAAAGAGCCATCCAAACTTGATGTCCAAAAAGATATTAAGTTTGGCGCAGTGGATAGAGCGTTGGTGTTCGGATCAAGGGAGCACAGATTCAAACCCCACTGCAGTCAGCATGTCGTTGAGTCCCTGGGCAAGACACTTCACCCCAAATTGCTCCTGTGGGGATTGTCCACAGTATTGAGTATGTAAGTCGCTTTGGATAAAAGAGTCTAACAATTAACATGTAATGTAATATCTTGCATATATAAATTCTAAAGGTGTGGCCATCAGACTATGATATATAAATGTTTACTGTGGATGTAAGCATTCTGTAGCTGTAATCATGTACCAGTACAAGGAATTAACACATGTATTTTCTTAACTTAAAGTAAGCTTTACGAACATTGTATGTGGAATTGAGAAGAATATGAGTGGAACATTTCATTAGGTTGAATCAGTTACATAATAAATTATGTTTGATTAATACAAGATTGAAAAACTATCAATCATAGTTATTCTGTTCATTTTTGTATAAGTTATAATTAAACGGTTGAACTGTAACTGTATGCCTAATTTAATGCAGACAGAACAAATGTTTTTGTTGCAATAAAGCCATGAACAAGTGAAAGCAAAACATTTCACTGAACAAACAGTGCAAAAGCGTTCCTCCGCTTGTCAGTTTCTTTAGTTGTTGAATTAATTGTACAGCCTATTGTGATTAAAATTAGGACTTAGAAATGATTGTCATATGTAAATGAGACAAAAGAAAGCTTTAAGTTAGCTTCAACATCATGGATCTATGCCAGTGAATGAAGATCACAGCAGATTTTGAAAAATGTCTAATCATATTTATGTTATGTATTTGTCATGTTTCATGAATTTGGGCCCAGGGTGGCTGAAGAATTGAGGACTGAATATCGGTACCTACACAAATCTTAATTTTTGATAATTAATCATCAGAAATGTGGGCATAATGTGGGTGGATTCAGAAAAATGATATCTCAACCCAAAATATAGTCTCCTATCACTATATTTATGTAATACTAATATATTGCTCAGCTTTAATGTAAAATATATGTTAATTAGTCTGATTATAAGTTAAAGATCTGACCGTAAGAGGCTCCGAGCATCATCACCAACAGTCCGATCACAGCCTGCATGTCTCCTCAGTGTTCAGCCTCTGGGGACCCAGTCTGCAGCTCACACTAAACTCTAAACTTTATACTACAGCAAACGTGCACATACTACACGGAGCAGCCTGACATGTTTTCTGTTAGTGATCAGATTCAGATTAGAAGTGAAGCAGAATATTGTGATAAACTGGTCCTCTTACTTCCCCATTTGTGTTGAGAACATTCGGACTATACCGTTATAGCCTTAAAAGGATGTTGGAACCTAAAATAAATAACAGAAGTACAGTATGGTAATGGTTTCTGTAATTCTGTGAGATAATATCAGATTGGACGCCTAACTTTAGCAAGGCAGGAAATTGTGTCATTGTAGAGGAAGTAAAACAAAGTGCCACACCAAACTGACCACGAAGATCTGCTCTTCTGTTCTATTGTTTCTGTCCGTTATGTTCTGCCCTTACGATCACCCTCCACATTTGAGAGAGAATATAAATAAGTTATGATTGAAACAGTATCACAGGGTGTATATACAGAGTGTAACATCTCAATAATGAATAAGAAATGAGAGAACACTACAATCCTTGACATACAGTTTTACTGTGACCATAACTGTCAACTTCCTCACACTGTTTCTATATCCAAAGAAACAAATGGTGTACATTTGTATCAGAAAACAACTAATAAGTCCCTCTAACTAGCATGAAACAACTGGTCCTTAGACAAGACATAGAGTCAGAGAAACCAAACTCAGCCTGCAGATGTCGTCAAACGTGATTCAACTAATACCAACAAAACCTTTTAAATTAACTACTTTAGCCATCTACTTTCTTGTGGTCATTAAATGATTTTATTTATTTAACTTTCAGTCAAAGCACTAATGATGTTACTGATGAAGTAGATGATTCAACGTTCAGTTATTTCACTTCTCTCTCACTCTTTAGACTAAGTCACCCTCTATTGGCAACTATTGATATAAGGCAAATGCCCTGAACTGAGAAACTATCTAAGATTTATGACATTGCACTTGTAATAATACACATATATGTTTATATTTTAACCTCATTATGCAGACTGGTTAAGAGTAGCCTATTAAGGCAGTAAAACCATATGGTTATATTTTATTGATCATCATTTTTTCCTGAAATGTTAACATGTTGGGAACAGAGATTTTACAGAATAATCCACGAACAGCACTAACACCTCTGTTAGTCAGTAGGGGGAAACCTAGAGTCTGTGATGAAAATGAAAACAACAAAATGGAAGTTTACCTAAATTGACTAATGTGAACATTGTGGAGCCGAAACATCTGATTACCTTTAGATAGAATACACAATGTTTGTTGAAATAAAAGTCCCACAGTGATGCAAATAGTCAAACACACTTACAGACCTTTATTAACCTTACTTACTTACTTTATTTTCACATGAAAGCAATATTTAACTTTATAAAATATCACCACTACATTGGATATATAACAACACTAAAAAGGAAAAAGACTTTACATTAGAACGTATTGCAAACAAGCAAGCAACAAATATAATCACATGAGAAAAACAACAAACTATTATGCACATGATTCAATCTGAGTTTAAAACTTTAATTATATAAATGAACATGATTCAAAAAGAGTGAAACAATTCAGGCATCTCGACTTGTGATCACATTAACTGTAGGCACAATTCATTACCTTTGTTCTGTGAGAGTGATACAAATGCAAAACAACACTAACAGACCTCAGATAATAACAACTCATGCTGAGGTGCTAAACTGTGAACACAAATTATAATTTTAGAATAAAAACAGCAGATTACTTCCACTCCCTATCTTCACATGCTTAAAGACGATGAGAGACGACCTGAGTTGAACTTCAGATGCCTTACATCTCAACCATCACAACAGACTCATCTTGATGTTCCCTCTCTGGACGGTAAGCAGAACCTTCAGCCTTCTTGTAGTCCTTGTTCTTCCAAGCAAAATAGACAGCAATCCCGATTAATGCAAAAACCACCACAGCTGCCCGCACACCACATACGAGCAGGGAGTGATCAGCTGGGATAAAGAGACACAAAAACAACATGTCAAGTTAGTTCTGTGACACGAGAGTTCATGATTACTAAGAACCGTCTCTGCTGGAGGAAGAAACCGCTTATTGGAGGGTTTTATGGACACATTGATAACACTCTCCTACCCACAAGTCTTAGTTTTCACAGGTTTCTGTAAAACTACAACTCATCCAGAACGCTGCTGCCAGAGTCCTCACCAAAACTAGGAGAATTGACCACACCACCCCAGTTCTCAAAAATCTGCAGTGGCTGCCTATTACACAAAGGACACACTTCAAAATCTTACTTTGAACATACAAAGCACTTAATGGATTGGGAGCCAGAGCTCTCAGGTCATCAGGAGCGGGTTTACTCCTTGTCCCCAGAGTCAGAACTACATTTGCCGAGGTAGCTTTTAGTTGTTATGCCACAAGCCTGGAACAAACTGCCTGAAAATCTAAGGTCCGCCCCAACCCTGGATTCTTTCTTTTTAATGCTGCCTATCCTGAGATGCTGCACCGTGCCTTATCACTGCACTTGTAGCTGCAACAATTATTTTATCGCTTTTTTGAATTGTCTTTTTTTTGTTTGTTTGTTTGTTTTTTATTATTATGTGTTAAATGCCTATGTGAAGCACTTTGAATTGCCTCTGTGTCTTAAAATGTGCTATACAAATAAACTAACCTTGAACCTTGAACCTTATTTTCTATGTTTGTTGTAGGAGCTGTTCCAAAACTCACAGATATAGAAATAACTCTAGGGGGTTTATGGAGATAAACAAAGGAAAAAAAGGGGGAATGACTTTAACAATCCATTGTAGAAATGTTACATTTCACTAATCTCTTGGTGTGTCTCCTTACCCACAGTGGAGGATTCTGAGATGGTGGTAGGAGGTGTTGTTGGTTCGATACACAGCATATTATTGGCTGCAAACACCCACTGTGATATCTGTGTCTCATTTGAGGTGCACTTGATGAATGTGAAGCCTGTGGGAAATAATCAAATGAACGACTTATGAACTGTTAATAATCTGTGTCATAATAAATAAACAGTTGTTCACTCATCTTCTCACCACAGAAGCGGCTGACGTTATTCTCGACGGAGCAGGCCACTGCTCCAGAGACGTGTTGTTTCAGAGTGATGCTGTTCGTCTCAGTATTTACAGAGAGGAGCTCAGTGTCTGTCAGTGAGCGTCCATCCAGAGTCCAGCTGTACTGAAGACTGTCCCCTCCCCCAGAGGAGCAGGAGACCCTCTTCTCTCCCTGGGACAGACACTCAGAGGCCAGCCGGACAGAGGACACAGGAGCTGAAGGAAACACTTTCTGGTGACTTTTCATATTCACACAATCTAAGTCATTTTATGCCGGTTTTAATACAGAACAGACAGATATATATAGAGTTTAAATATACAAACTTCTTATGTGTGTCTATCCATTTGACTACATTTCCCAATAGATACAACAATATATTTACCTTGAATGGTCAGTCGTAGAGCGCGATTCTCTTTGATACTTTTGTTGTCACGGATTTCAAAATGATATTCATCACTGTCAGTCCTGCTGAGGTTGTTCACCCTAAATGTTCCATCACCGAGATTAAATGAGGATCTGCTTTTTATGGCATTCGTTACAATCATATTGTTTATCACAGTAAGTATTACTGTTGCTTTGTTTGACGATTTGTACAATTTGTATCTTTCTGTTTCTAAGCCCCTGTCCATCAGCTGGAGGACCACAGTTCCTCCCAAAGGACCGAAACACTGAGCTCCATCCTGTCTGCCGTCACAGTAGGTTTCCAGACCTGGACATACAAAATTAAAAAAAAATTTTTAAAAAGGTTTAAAATCAAAAACAGAAAACATTTAAGTTTTGCATTTCTACAAAAATATTGAGTTTTGTAATTCTTTAAGCATATGCAAATACTGATCTGCAGCAAAAAATAAGTATTTCACTGGTTTCTAGACAAAGGTTTGTGAAATACTGTATAAATATGTTTAGCAGCTGAACTGTTACAGTACAAATGCTTCTATACAATATTTGTGCTTAGGTGAAGTTAACCTCACCCAGACAGGAACTTCAGTTTTCAATTATTGGGAAGTTACCAACGTTTTCAAAATGAACACATAATTTTTTCACTGTGTTTTTAGCAATGTGTATATGAACTAATGGAAAATAGTCATCAAACCTTGATGTCCAAATATTTGCTGTGGATGTAAGCATTCTGTATCTGCAATCAAGTACCAGTTCCTCCTTGTCAGTTTCTTTAGTTGTTGAATTAATTGTATTTCTGGTGTAACAGCTTATTGTAATTTTGATTACAATTATTATTCAGAAATGATTGTCATATGTAAATGAGACAAAGAAAGCTTTACGTTAGCTTCAACATCATGGTTCTATGCCAGTGAATTGAAGATCACAGCAGATTTTGAAAGATGTCTAATCATATTTATATCATGTTTTTGTCATGTTTCATGTCTTGAATGAATTTGGGCCCAGGGTGGTTGAAGAGTTAAGGATTGAATATTGGTACCTAAATCTTCATTAATCATCAGAAATGTGCGTCAATTCAGAAAATTATATCTCAAACCAAAATATAATCTCCTATCGCAATATTGATGTAAAACTAATATATTGCTCAGCTTTAATGTAAAAGAAAATGTTATTTAATCCAGTTATAAGTTAAACTTCTGACCGTAAGAGGCTCCGAGCATCATCACCAACAGTCCGATCACAGCCTGCATGTCTCCTCAGTGTTCAGCCTCGGGGGACCCAGTCTGCAGCTCACACTAAACTCTAAACTTTATACTACAGCAAACATGCACATACTACACGGAGCAGCCTGACATGTTTTCTGTTAGTGATCAGATTCAGATTAAAAGCATCTTACTTCCTCATTTATGTTGAGAACATTCTACCGTTATAGCCTAAAATAAATACCAGAAGTAAAGTAATGGTTTCTGTAATTCTGGGAGATAATAAAATATTGTACGCTAAACGATACCATGGCAGGAAATGGTGTCATTGCTCTAAAGGAAGTGAAATAAAGTGTCACACGAAACACTGACCACTAAGATCTGCACTTTGATTCGATTATTTTTGTCCGTTATGTTCTGCCTTTTCCTCAACATTTGAGAGAGAATATAAATAAGTTATGATTGAAACAGTACCACAGGGTGTACATACAGAGTGTAACCTCTCAATAAGGAATAAGAAATGAGAGAACACTACAATCCTTGACATAAAGTTTTACTGTGACCATAACTTTCAACTTATAAATGGTGTACTTTTGTATCAGAAAACAACTATAAAGTCCCTTTAACTACCATGAAACAACTGGTCCTTAGACAAGACATAAAGTGAGTGAAACCAAACTCAGCCTGCAGATGTCGTCAAACATGATTCAACTAATACCAACAAAACCTTTTAAATCAACTACTTTAGCCATCTAATGAAAGCTCAGCGCAAGTTCAATCAAGACCAAGCTCTTCATTCATATTACATGTCATTTCATTACTCTCTCCTCCCTCATTAAGTGATCGGGGGCGTCACTCCCCAGCTAACCAATCACTCCTCTCTCCATTCTCACAAGCCTATCGTTGCACCCGCTAATCCCTTTATATCTGCTCTTCCCTCTTGTCAGCTGTCATTTCAGGTGACAATATGCAACCCTCCTCCACCCCTTTCGCCTCCTGTCTCCTTCAGGACCAAGCTAAACCTTCTCCCTTCAGACCGGTCCCACCTACTTATCACCACCACCAGTGTCTAGACCCCGGGGGGTTTCATCGGAGCGGTTCTTCCCCCTCCTGAATGATTATCCTTCAAACTGGGGCCTAATCGCCAAACACCATTCCATTCTCCTGTTATAATTCTGGCAATCATTATTACATTCATATTACGTGTCCCGGTAATAAATGTGTATTTCATACATCAACGTCTCTCCTGATTGAACTTTAGCCATCTACTTTAGCGTGGTCTTTAAATGATTTTATTTATTTAACTTTCAGTAAAAGGAATCATGATGTAAGTGATGTTTTAAGGCTTGTTTATATCAATAAAAGTACTTAATTCAAATATACAGCATTTAATTTACAGCAGCATCCTCTCATTATGCAATAGTTCCAGTAACAATAACTCATTCAAAAGAGTATTAAATACATATTTTTTGTAATTGTAAATCAACGTTTATTTTTTATCAGAGCTACAGTGCAAACATTCAACTTCCATATTATGTACCAAGAGTTTGCCATGAGGGAAGGGCAGCAAAATAAACAGACAATGATATTGAAACATTTTTTAAAAGGATGAAAAGAAAACCTGGTACTTAAACTAGATAGATGATCTCACATAATTCTGCAAGGTAACAACATGTACAAAGAGATTTTCCAGCACCCAAGTCATGCAAAGTAGGAGTCAATCTTAGGGTCCTCACTTGTCCAGTGTTGATCTTCAGTTACTTTTAAACTAGAAGCCTTTTTTGTCCTTTTTTTACCTGAGGAAGGAAAAAAGACAGAATAATAACTATCTTGTAGTTAAGATGGCTGAAAATTAAATAGTCTCAAACTGAATCTGTTCCTCTTTTTTGATAACAAACAGGCAGAGGAGGGAGAAGTACTCAGTGTACTTGAGCATAAGCAGAAATACCAGAGTGTTGGAATATTCTGCTACAAGTAAAAGTCCTAAATTCAAAATGTTACTCAAGTAAAAGTATGAAAGTATTGCTATCAAAATATACTTAAGTACCAAAAGTAGAAGTACTCATTATGCAGATTGATTGTAATTATTGATGCATTAAAGTGTTATCAAAGCTGGTAAAGCTGCAGCTAGTTTCAACTACTTTGTGCAGGGTAGCTTGTGAATTTACTCGAGGTGTTGCTAAAGTCTTATTTAAGAGTTGATTGTATTCCACATCACTAATCCAAATCTGCAAAGTAACTAAATAAATGTAAACTACTACACCTGCGACTCCTGTGAGTGAATGTAGTGGAGTAAAAGTACAAAGTAGCATAAAATGGAAATACTGAAGTAAAGTACAAGTATCTCAAAATGGTACTTAAGTACAGGACTTGAGTAAATATACTTAGTTACTTCCCACCTCTGCAAACAGGTGAGTCTTACCTGACTTCTTACCGCGCCTCATTTTCCAGCAGGCGCAGCAACACACCCCCACTATCAGTAGAGCCCCGACTGTACAGCAGACTGGGATCAAGATGTGCAAAGTGCTTTCTGGGGAGAAACAAACCACATAAATAATTATCCAAACTCACAAACTTTAAAGCATTCACATGTTTGCATTTGTTGGTTGGTGGTTAGTGAAACTCTATTTTTGACCAAAATTCATGATAAAACGAGAATAAGAAAAGTTGACAAATACTGAAAGTTCACTTTGAACCACAGCCAGTTCCTGTTGCTGTCACGGCACCTTTCATCAGCCCCCAAAGTATATTATTGAAATTAATAAATAAGTTGTAACTAAATGGAAAGCTTACCTTCAAGAATTTTCTCAGGAATTATTTGCTAATGTGCAAGGCAGGACTCAGTTATATTTTCATAATTTTTAAGTAGATTTTGAGTCATTTGTCATCATCGAATGTCACAGGAATGAGGAGGTTAAGAAGTTCTTGAAAGACAATTTCAAGAAGAAACACTATACTGCACTATATTATCAGATATAAGGCGTACAGTAAATATTACAGTACAGAAGATTCTTAAACATTCTCCTTTAATCTTCTATTCTTCCACATGTGGGTCCACTGGGTTTTGTATTCTCACTTCCCCAAGATGATTACCTTTTGTAGGTACTTTAAAATAGTATACAGAAACATTAAAGCATAAATAAGCTGGAAGATAAACACTTGCCTTGAACAACCAGTTCAAAATTGACGTTTCTCACGAGGACCCCGTCGTGCCGAAAGATTTCCACATTGTACTCCCCTGAATCATTCCTCTCCACGTGTGTGATCTTCAGGGTCCCATTGTTGATGAAAAACTCTGTCCTGCTTTTTAAAGAGTCATGTATTGTCACTACTTCTTTCTTCAGATTGAACACAGTTCTGGGCCCGTTGGGAGACTGTCTCTTGCACCCCAGCCGATGGCCGCTTGCATTGTTCATCACTTGGATGGACACAGATCCTCCAAGGTTTGCAGAGCACAGAGACATGTTCTGCGAGGCCTTACATTTAGTCTCAGCAGCTGGAAAGAAAGCTAGAAAAATGCATAATCAAATGAAACCAGATTAATAATTCACCTTTTACACAATATTATAATGTTTCTGTAAAAATGAGTATTTTACCATGCGATACTCCAGCTAACATCACAAGAACAAGAATAGCAGGATCCATACTCCTTTTGAAGATTACTGAACAGAGAATGATAAACCAATCTCTGTTCAAGCTACTGAAATCAAACCTCAGGTTGTTTACAGACACTGGATGGAAACAGCAGGCCTACAGGGGTGGCGGTTTGATGCCGGTTAAGAAGGCAGGAAATGAAGTTAACTGTTTCACTTCTCCTTGTAGACACAGGTCTTTCATGCTACCCCACAAAAGCAGGTTGCAACAACAAGGCAGGGGAGTTAAACCGTCAAAAGGGAAAAAAGGGCGTTTTCACAGAAATGACATGATAAGGTTTTTTGTATTTTTCAAAAAATATAACTTCCTGTATATAGTGTCCTATGTTTACAGTTTTTAGTAGAATGTAGTTTTTATATCTAATCTAAATTCAACAGATGTCATAAAGTGAGTTAAAGGTATAACAACATTTTGACCAGTATGCAGTTTTTTGCATGTTCTTGTGTTGGACATTAGTGTGCCAATCGTAGGAAACAGTTGCAACATGTGAAGAAATCCCATATGTGAAACTGAACCTCAGATTTGCCTTAGCTAACACACTTTGACTGTGATGACAGTTTCAGCATGTTTTAACAACGTAGGCCATGTATTTCTTGATAGGCTGGGGAAAACGGAAGTGAAAATTAAACCTACACAGAGATATAGTATAAGAGACAAACTGCTAAAACTTTTTTATAAAACAAAAAAACCTGACTCTGCACAGAGATGAGGCTTATATTTGACAAAAGAGGCCAGAGATATGTCAGTGCCTTTAATCAACAAATTGTCATGATCACAACAATGTCTTATAGATCTACCTGTAGGTTAGGGGTAATCTTAAACCCTACATGCAGAAGGGCATATTTATACATTTCCTATCTGAGCTCCAGATCAGCAAACATTTGTGTGCACAAATTTCTACATACACATTCGCACATTTGCTGATATAGCTTAACAAGCAAACACAAGAATACAGCTTTTTATTGGACCTGTGTTTGATGCTCTTTTGTTATTGTTTGTTGGGCGCATGAACCAAACCAGACTGTGCAGAGGAACAATTCCTAGATCATATTGCTGCTGTGAGCTACTGTTCACATCCAATACAGTGCAACATTACCATTTCACTTTTGGAGTCACGAAATTTACGAAAGTATGCAACTTATGTCACAAGAGGTAGTCATCATTTATATAAATTATTGTTAAAATGGTTGAAGACGATTTTTCCTTGTAACCACTTCATCCAAGTCAAATACAGCGATCCTGATATTACAGAGTAATCATCTTGTCATTCTGACACATTTGCTAGAATCTTATTGGAAATAACTTTCATTTTTGATTACAGAATATTCTATTTAGGGACACACATTTGTTTATTCAAATGGATAAACACATGTGTACTTATTTTAGTTTTTTACATCAATCAGTTCTTTTAGAGAGCCTGAATATAAACCTGCAACTAACAGCAGTTGGATTTGCAGAAGTTTGGTCCCTTTGTCAACAAAAACAAAAACACATTGTCAAAAAGTTCCATCAAGAAAGCCAAACAATCCCTTATATACTGTAACTATCCTTTAGGAGTGCGTACTTTGCCCCTTTTTCAGTCATGTCCTTTATTATATCCTGTTGGACATCATCCTAGTGTTGAGTCTCCTGAAAAACGACCTGCTTTTGGACATTTTCAGCTTCTTCTTCCAATTGTTCTTTTTCTGGTAGACAGTATCCCATCGTTCCTCCTCCTCATCTCCTACCCAAGGCACCCAAGCACCTCCATTGAGTTGGGGGTCAGCCCGAAGGTCCTCTGATGGATACCTTACTGGCACCGCAGTGCGATTGTAGTACACCAGTCGAGCCAGCAGCTCTTTCACAACATCTGGTCTCTGCTCAGAAAGGTCTTGGCGCTCGTAGGGGTCTCCGGAGATGTTGAAAAGCCACACAGATTTCTTGGGTTCAGTGTGGCGCTCCAGGTTCCACCAGCCGGCGGGGAAACCTGGAAGCACCGGTGGTGGCGTCCAGTCTCCGTAGCCGGGGTCTCCCGTTAGAAGTTTCCAGTCTCCAGCTCGGATGGAGGCCTGCACAGCTGTATTCCAAATCCCATATCCTTTCTCCAGGGAGCCGCTGCGGGCATGGTTATATAAAGGGTCAATATTGTGGAGGATCTCCAACCGGGGGGACTCTTTCCCTCCACTGATGGCTTCCCAAACATCATGGCCATCCACCCCCTCGGTCAGGGACTCATTTCCACCTGCTAATCCCACCAGTGTTGGGTACCAGTCAGTGATGTGCACCAGGGCTTTACTCACCCTCCTCTTCTTCCTCAACAGAGGACTGTGAACGAACCCCAGACCCCTGACACCGCCTTCCCAGTAGGTGCCTTTACGTCCTCTGAGGGGCCAGTTACTGCCGCCAGACAAAGGCTGGCCCCCGTTGTCAGTGGAGAAGATGATCACACTGTTCTGGTAGTAACCATACTTGCGGAGAGCGTATGTTATATTACGTACTGCCTCATCTACAACTGAGACCATAGCAGCATATTTCCTGCGAGCCACATTTTCCATTCCACGGTATGGGTAGATGTACTCCCGTGGAGACTGCAGGGGTGTATGAACAGCTTGGAAGGAGAGGTAGATGAACAGCGGCTGGGACTGAGGATCGTGGGTTGCCAGGATCTTGCGGACTCTCTGTGTGTAGAGGTGTGTGGAGTATTTGCCCCTCTGACCCCAGGCCACCGACTCCCCCTCGTGCAGGTCGAAACCACACCTCCCGGGGCCGTCACAGGAGTCGTAGGTGTAGTAGTTTACACTGCCTGTTAAGGAGCCAAAGTATGTGTCAAAGCCCCGGCGAGTAGGCAGGCACTCCTTCTTGTAGAAGCCCAGGTGCCACTTGCCGACCATGTGGGTGGAGTAGCCGAGCTCCTGCAGTCTCTGGGGGAGGGTGACCTGGTCGAAGGGCAGGCAGTTGGGCTGGCGGGGCCGGATGATGGAGTGCTGCAGGCCAGTGTGGATTTGGTACCTGTAGGGTTTAAATATTAAGAAAACTGTCAGTGTCTAATGTGTTAGCACTCAGAAGGATGGGACAGTAAGCAAGAGTAAAGGGTAAGGACAAATTACTTCAAATAAACAATTGAATGAATCATGATTCTCAGATCTAATATTGGATTGATGCTGTAAAGATGTTTAAGTATTTCCGCACTATCAGACAAATTAATTGTATTTTGCACAATAATAAAAAATAATAGTAATAATAATAAGTAAATATGATGCTATTTTATGGCTTTGCAGTTATGCAGGTTTCAAGTAAAACAAATCTAGCAGCTTTACAATAAAGATATTTCTGTGTGAAAAAGGGTATTTCCCCTGCAGATGATTTGATTTTATTGAAAAACTGTTGGAGAAATCTGGTCCTAACAGACAACCACAAGCAACCAGTCTCTTGAGGACAAAGTCTGTACCTGCCGGTGATGAGCTGGCTGCGGGACGGGGTGCAGATGGGCTGGATGTAATAGTTCTCCAGCTTCACTCCGTCTGCAGCCAGTTTATCCAGCGCCGGGGTCCTGATGTCAGAACTGTGGTAGCCGATGTCGTTGAACCCCTGATCGTCCGTCATGATGAAAATGATGTGAGGAGGCTGAGGGACAGGTGAGCTCTCGACAAAAGTGTGGTTGGTCTCGTTTTCCACCTGGTTAGGACCCATCATGTCCCAGGTTAGATACCCGAGGCTGAGCAGGCTCATCATGGAGAACCCGGTCAGAGCTGTCGTTGCCATGGTTCCTTTATTTCAGTCAAAGTAGTAATGTAAAGTATGTTGTCAGCAAATCATCGTGCAGTAATGCTGAGGGGACAGTTTCATCAAGAAATCCTCTGGTCCAGCTGTCTGTAGAGTAGGTGCCACTGAAAGAAAAGCTAATCCTCCATCTCTACTGACTCTCCAAATACTGTTTCAGACTCCTTTGAAACATTTCTCTCTCCTTAGCGGTCCCATTAACCCCGCCCTTTGCCTCGCTGCTTCACTGAAATAACATCAGCCCCTTTACCACCCAAAACACAGTCCTGGTGTTAATACTGACTTAGTACTATTATCTCTTAGTATTTATATTCTTCTGAAAAATATATTTATTTGATCACTGTAGTACAAATGTTCACATTTGTTAAGGCAGTTTCAAACATGAAGGCAGAAAACCCCATTACTACCTTCTCTTCATTCAAACCATTTTATAGTATTTGACTTAAATGAACCACACTGCCAACTCTACACATCACTAGAAAGCAAGAAAAAAAACATTCCCATCTGACCTGGTTTAGCAGTGGATGAAAGAGACTCCACAGAAACACCCTCGCTCAGAAAACCCCGGAGTAAGGGGGAGATTGAGGTCTCTGCACTCACAGGGGCCCTACAGACACAATCACTGACACTGTTCCTCACTGCACTCGCAAACACTCACTCACTATTCCTGCTGTTTTATGAGTGCTGCAGAACTGAGGAAGGAGACAGAGCAGGCTTCCTAAACTCTGATAACTTCTCCAACCAAACAGGCCTCAAAGAAACACTTTACAAATCATCCAGCGGGTCAACAGAAAGCAGCAGGACTGCACAGCCTCGCCCCTCCTGTGTGAACGTATTGCCCCAAAGCACGCTGATAAACCGGCTGCAGATTAACTTAGACTGGGAAACATTTTGGGGAGCTGGGGATCAAATTATTAACAACATATTAATAGTAAAAAAAAGGACATGTAAATCAAGAAAAGACCATTTGCTTTCTGAGCAGTCATCATACGTTTTTTATGGAGGTGGTCAGATAGGGCCATAGTCTATCTTTGGGTTGCATATCAAAAATGTCATAATATTACTGGATTCTTAGGAATTATATTTTGCTTTGTACAATAGAGTTAGGGAATCACATACTGATACTTTGGTTATTTTGCGGTTAATGTTACTGATAACCTGATTCATACAAGTAGTTCACATTTTGAGTTCCACAAAAATGCTGTTTTGATGTGTTATGTATCAGCATACACTGAAAAAAGTGAACCGTTGAATTTAATTAAATTATGTCAACAAATTTCACATAACTGTATTAGGTTAGTTTAAAGCAATAATATTAAGTTGAAACAAATATTGTTTATTGAAACCTAATATTGTTGCTTTCAATTAACCTAATGTCAATTTTCTGGCTGAAATTGTGTAGCCTGTCATGATTGAAGAGGCCAACATATTTTACTCTTCTGTACTTCACATTTACAACAATATTTGTCAGAATATCCTTTTCACTTTAAAATCTAAAACTGTTGAGTGATTTAAGGTCGTTGAGGTGAAAGATGGTCTCCAGTTAAAATAAGATCTGTCACTACCTGAAGTTGGTCAACACACTCAAGGTAAAACATCACACCTTGCAAATATTGGTAAGAGGAAGTATGAGCCTCCCGTAAAGGGCATGGTGCTGCAGCCGGGCGGCCGGGGCGGGGGGGTTTGCCTGGCAGGGGCAGCAGCAAAGGCCTCTTTGGAGCAGAGCCTCTGAGTTTAAGGCAGGTCAAGCTTGGAAAGAGAGAAACAAAATGAGTGAGGTGCACCTGAAGTTTTACATTCTTGTGTTTATTTATGTAGTTTTCCTAGAAGGAGTGGCTTGGTATTAATGATGTGTTTTGCAAAAATTCCCCCAAAAAACAGAGAGTTGTGCATCACACTGAGAGGCTATTGATCCTTCACAAAACAAGGAGAACAGATATGTGTGATGTATGTTGCCGGAAAAGTAACCGTCTCATGCTTATGGCAGCCACATTGACAAAATGCGACGCATTTGTTTTCTGTTGGTCATAGGCTCACTCAACAACACACTCTACTCACAGTAACCAACACTACACAAACCGAAAGGAAACACCTATACTGACACATATCAACTCACACTGACAAATACAAGCAGGTGCATACACAGTCATCACACTCCAAAGTCTGGAAAGATGTTGATAGACTGAAACCGCAGATGTATTACGGTTTACATTTGTTAATCCCTTTTTGAACTGTCATAGTACCAAAATAAAGAATTCAACCATTAACCAAGACATTTTTGAAGACCGTATTTATAGAAACAGTTACCTTACAATAGACCACGATAATTTACACTTACATGTTGAACAAACACCATTTTGGTTTCTGGGGGTTATTTTCAGTTATTTGTTTGTCATAACTTTTCTTGGGCTGCAACTCAATTTCAAAATGAGCTAAGAATAAACAGAAAAATCATTTATTGGCATTCTTGTAAACCCCAGCTGTCTGGTCCAGTAATAGCACTCTTCCACACACAGTAAGCACTCGGGTAAAAGAAGGTCACTCTTAATGAACCAGACATGCTGACACGCTGTTGCCCCAGTTGTGACGCAGTGGAAAATAAAGGTTTAGTCAGACTCTTCATCATTCGTTCTTTTCATCTATTAATCTGCTTGATCCCCGTCTCCTGCTTTACTCAATGACATATCAAAAGGAGCTTTGAAGAGTGATGTTCTATGTGAGAAAACTTTAATAAATGCATTTGATTGAAATAAGGCAACTTCAGATAGTCGCTGAAATTGATTTAATGTGCCTTGAGTATCTGTGGTGGGTTGTTGATTGAGCATTACCCTCATCATTTTCCATTTCGTTCCATAGGATGTTAACATTTCAACAATGCTTCCTTTTCTGTCCTTATTAATTGAAAGAAGATATAAGAAGCCTGATCATTCATTCAGAAAAAATCATACCTTCAGGAATGTCACAAGGCACCAGTAGCTTTCAAAACTATTCACATTTTATTTTGTTTCCAGTTGTCAAACCAAATTTAAGTTTAGCAGTGGGAACTCTTATCTTCAAATACTAGGTCCACGCAACTTACAATCTCAAACATACAAACTAACAACATCTTCTTCTCACTTGCACATGACTTTTAGACCAGGTTCAAAGCGTTTTTCTGGGAAACTGTGAAAAACAATAATGAGTTGAAAGGGAAGCAGAGGCTGTGTCGGTCAGCGCCAGATGTTGGCTTTGGCGAGAGGAAGAGGTGCTGTTACTGAATATGGCTGCTCCCCTTCACCATGAACACTACCCTCTTTCTAATCAACGCAGCCCTGCCAGTAAACCTGCACATTACTCCCCCTCTTCCCCAATTTTCTAATCTGAGCAAGACTAGTTGGAGGTTTTCTTTCTTCCTGTGCGCCAGCCCAAAGCCAAAACCTTTACTTCAATGGGACTGTATTCAATGTCGCACCTCGGGATACAAACGAACCTTTGTTTTGCTCCACACCTCGTTTTTTCACCTATAATAATGTTTTTTAATGATCAAGTCATCAGCAAGAAAGTCTATCACTATTGCTTCCTTTGGATAATCTTCAGGTAACATGAGGGGAAAGTGCCAAACAAAATGTGTTCTTTCAGCTTTATTGTCAAATGAACCACTTTTTTGAAGAAAATAAACTGCATTTGAAATATTGTTATTTATGTTGTGTAAGTAAGTGTATGAGAATTGGTCAATTACGTTTTAGGGTAGCTAACACTGGCTTTGGCTATCTCACCACCACTTGTTACTGATTAAATCTGATTAGATCAATATATTTTAATAACAGATAAATGAAGCAACAACTAGTCCCAGTTGTTCAGGTTCGTATTTAGGTGTGGTTAGCAACTCTCTGAAGGGTTTTATGGTTTACAGAGTGTCAGCTTCAGAAGCCACATCCTGTAGAATCAGTAGAGCTGCAGTGCATTAAAGAAATCAGTATGTATAGTCATTTGTATAAATTGCACTGAGTGGTATTCAGCTTACATCTCCTCTCTCTTTCTGCAATAGTTTAACACAGTCTACACATAGTGCCGTGACAGGTGAGACCTCATGAGGAGCGCTGGCCTCGGCCCCAGACTGAAGGTGTGTTTGATTTGGCTCCTGTGGATCTGCAGCAGCACCTGGGCAGGAAGGCCAGACACAACACTTCATTATGACCCTCCGGTAAAACCACCTGGAAGGACATCTGAAAGGGAATCTTTTTTTAATCTAATTAACCCATCAGTCATAATCCATGTGCATATATATATATATATAAATACATCTCAACATTTCTTACTTAGAATGGTTTTACGACTGTTTATAGAGGCAGATTATGACACATTAAAGGTAATAACAAAAGTAATAACAAAACTCCCTGGGTGTAGTTGTAGGTAATTACCTGCAGAGTGAGTGCAGAAGTTAGCTGCTAAACATGTGGAATGTGTAAAGTAGACTTTTTTCCTGTGAAACAGAGTTCCATTTACTAGATTTACTTGTACAAATATTTGTACTGCAACCTGTCATCAAAGCCAAGGGAAAGTCAAGGATGCAAAGACAATCAACCTCCTCTGACTCTCCGATAGATGCCTATCACTCTTAAAAATGATATTCAACACGTTTCAGTTATTTGTCCAATAGATTGTGACTTGTAGAGGAAAAGTGGGCTGAGGAAATATTACATTTCCCATTTTACAAATTGTTATTCTCCCATAAAACCTTGGTGGTCTGTCCCTTCAAAATGAATGGGAGCTGAGTCAGCCCATACCAAGCCCCGTCTGCCCAACCTGTGTGTATGTGTGGGGGGGGGGGATGGTGAAATCAAGCTTGATGAGAGCACTGACGTTGCGTTTGGAATATACACATGCTTTTCTTTCCTGATTTTGCTCCATGAATGGGACTCTTTCAGCCGTTTGCTCATGTTGACCCTCCGCTTACCCAATACTCTCCCTCGGTTTGACCCAAGGTGTCACCGCCAGCTCTCTTAGATCCACTGCCCGGACACCTTAAGTTTCTTCCCATACTATCCAGCCAAGAAAGAAATCATGCTTTTATACAAATACACCAGATTGACGGGAGATATATTCCCGGCATCTTTTTAAAAAAGTCGATCAACCAATTTGACCCAATAGTGGATCGGCTCGCTGTTGAAGTATGTTTTTTCCAACATGGAGAGATTTAATCAGAGAGCAAGGTAAAAA